ATAATCAGGGGCAGATTTAGGGGGCGGAAGGTGGGCCCGAACCCCCTTCGCCGAAAAGGTAAAATCTGTTTTTTACCTCTATATATTATGTTTTGAATCCTCTTGATACAGCCCAAAAGCATAGCTTAATGGTCAAGGGGGTTCAAAACCTTCGTAAGGTCATTGGTTCAATTCTCACTAACTACAATTGTTTTTAACTTTTTCTTTTTTGAACCCCCTTAGCAAAAATCCTGCATCCGCCACTGGCCATAATACTACCTTACAATCTCCAAAACCATCAAAGCAAAACCAGTAGGGAAATACAACACATTTCTAGACCCAAAAAAACAACTGAATATCAAGCATGGAGCAACGCAGGGATATAATACTTGTTTACTTCTCAATTTACCAAAAACTTAAACTTTCTCAATTTTCACCTTTTCTTGAGCCGAGGGTCCCTCGGAAACAACCTCTCTACCTCGCCAGGTAGGAGTAAGGTATGCGTACACACTACTCTCCCCAGACCCTACTTGTAGGATTATACTCAGTATGTTGTTGTTGTTGTTACTTCTCAATTTACCAAAAACTTAAACTTTCTCCTTTTCTTCTTGTTACAACAGTTTTCAACAGAAATGCAAGTTTCTCTAATTCAAGCCTTAAGAGGTAGAAAACAGCTTCCTCAATAACTTGGAAAGGATTCAACTTTCTCCTCACCATATTGGTCGACACTATAACAAAAAATCAGCCCTAATGAATAATGGCCAATAAATTCAGCAGTCAAGAAGATTTTCTATCTGAAAATTGAAGTTATAAGTGTTCGCCAACAATTCCACTAACCTTGGTAGGGGAAAATCTAATTAATAAAAGAGCATACCTAGCCTTATTTTCTCGTTCAACTTTTCTAATCTCCTCATCTTTTTCAATTCCCTGCAATCAAAACCAATTAGCTCAACTACCACTACATCTGATATCGCACAAAAAAAAAGTAATTTGATCAGAAAAAACACAATAAAACGAACCTGTAAAGTAGTCAGTTCTTCGGGAGCATCGGAATCGCTCTCTTCTCCTCGTCCTGACATATCGACTGAACAAGGTATCGCACTTCTGCAAAGAGTTTTAGGGTTAGGGTTTTAGCTCAGGAAGACGGAGCAAAAGTAAAGGTATTTTCGGACTGAGTTAGAACACTTGTGAAATTATTTTTATCTTACCCAAATGTTAGCCCACATACTAAAACATCCCACTACTCTATGACCCCATTACGAGAAAATTACAAAATTGATTGCTTGTGTTTTGAGATAGGTCTAAAATAGTCCTTGCAATATATCTTGAGCAATTTTAATCTTTTAATTTTGTAAAAATAAACACTTTTGGTTTTCGTCAAATATTTGACAAACTCGTTGTAGATTTAACAGGAACAGAAAAAAAATACAAATTTCGCTTAAAATGAAGTAAATGACTGGTTAAGATACACTAATTGTGAAGAACTTATCTAAGCAGTTGAGTGTGGTTTTATTGGAGAAATTAAGAAGATATTCCAAACATAATCTAATGAAACTTCTGGTTGAAGGATTAAGAAATATAACTCCACATTACTCATGTACCATTTGATTGTCCGTATAAAAATTATGATTCTGCGAAAATCTATGTACAACTTTATACTTGAAATAGGTATACATCTATGTGTAAAAGTCTTGTACTAAAAATCTATCTATATCTATATAGAATAACAAAAGTAAAACTATGATAGGCTGCCAAGTGGAATACCCACAATTCAACACATGTCAAAAATTAGAACAACTCTCCAAGATGTTGGAGTTTCAAATTCAAACTACAAATCAGAAAAATAAACTTAAATTTATCAAATTTCAAAAACTTTCAATCCTCCCACGATTGAGTTTTTGCAGTTATTCTATTCATTTATTTATTATTACACTTGCCTATTAAAAACAAAATTCCTCCCCCTTTTTTGGTTGGCTGTTATAAAAAAAAAATGGCAAAGGGCCAAATATACCCCTCTACTTTCGAAAATGGTTTAAGAAAACCCTTCGTTATACTATTGGGTTATTTATATCCCTACAGTCATATTTTGGGTTCAAACCCCTCATTTAAACGGAAGGATACGTGTCATCGTCCTGTTGACCAATTCTAAATATCTCCTAATTAATTAAAAAGACTCATTACCCATACCCGAAAAGTAATTTTTTTGTAAAAGCTAGAAAAAACTGAATTTTTTTTTTTTCTAAAAGCTGAACAAAAACGAAAATATTTTTTTTCAGTTTTTACAAAAAAAAAACTGAAAATATTTTCTAAAACAATATTTTTGTAAAAACTGGAAAACAAAACTGAAAAGCAATTTAAAATTGGAAAAAACGAAAATATTTTTAACTAAAAACTGAAAAAATATAAAAAACAATTCAATTTTTACAAAAATATTGCTTTAAAAAAATGCTTTTCATTTTTTTTCTTCAGTCTTTACAAAAACATTGTTTTAGAAAATACTTTTTAGTTTTTTTTAAGTAGTTTTTTTGTAAAAATTGGAATTTATTTTTATTTTTTTCAGTTTTTAGTTTTAAAAATTTCAGTTTTTTCCAATTTCAGTTTTTTCCAGTTTTAAATTGCTTTAGAAAGTTGGTTTTCATTTTTTTTTTTCAGTTTTTACAAAACATTATTTTAGAAAATATTTTTTGCTTTTTCAGTTTTTAGTTTAAAAAAATCAGTTTTTTCCAGTTTTTACAAAAAAAAATATTTTAGAAAATTGCTTTTCGGGTATGGGTAATGGATCTTTTTAATTAATTAGAAGATATTTAGAATTGGCCAAGATGACAATGCCATGTGTCCGTCCGTTTAAATGAGGGGTATATTTGAACACAAGGTATGACTGCGGGGTATAGATAACTCAATAGTATAACGAGGGATATTCTTAGACCAGTGGTGGATCCAGGATTTTAAGATCGTGGGTGCTCACTTTCTTTTAATATAAAGGTGCTATCAATCACATAATATAAGCGCAAATTATTTGAACGGGGCGATGAAAAAAACTAATGAGAAAAATACGATAACTATTGTCATTACCAAAAATGACTTCTAGCCACGAGTCACGATAATAATGTTATCATTACAAAAAAAGGACTTCTAGTCATATCTCGTAATTGTGCTCGACGACTTTTCATATGTTGAAAACGATGAATAATAGCATCATTGCTGACACTTGAAAATATCTTACGCTCTACATAGCATACTAAACAACTATTTAAAAATTCATCACTGATGTTGTTACAAAGTTCACTTTTGATGTAGTTCATGGATGAGAAAGCTCGTTCCACAAAAGTTATAGCAACAGGAAGAATGAGAGTCAACTTGATAAGCAAATAAACAAGTGGCCAAGTTTGATGCAGATCTGACTTAACCAACACTTTAGCAAGATCACTAATTCCCTTCATGCCAAAGAACCTCTTGTCAACACCACGGGCATAAACTATAAAACTATCAAGCTGACAACTGAGATCTCGAAGCTTGATGCTATCAAACTCATTCGGATAATATTCAACCAACCTCATTATCCTGTTCTTATCAAAATTACCAAATAAATTAACTAGATTTAAGCTAGCCATACCGAGGAGTAAGTCAGTACTCACAACATCAAAGCGACGGTTAAGCTCTTGAAAATGCAAATCTATAACAACATAAAAAATGCTGACACGCAAATGATGAGAATATGTAACATCAACAGCTCTACGCTTCGACTTCCCAGGAAAGTAGCGAGCGTCCATCTTTGGAATTATTATATCATGTTTATCACAGAAAGAAGAGACATCTTCCATTAAAGATCAATATTCACTATTCCTCATCGTTTGTAATCGTTGCTTTGTAAGAGCAAGGAGTCCCATAGCATTGACAATATCTTGATCCATCCTTTGTAATGCACAATTTAACTCATTTGACATTGTTAAAACTTTTAACATCAAGTGCAACATAAAAGCAAAATCAAATTCCTGAATCTTACCCATAAGACTTTCAGCAACAATTCTGTCGGTATAGTTTGGACACTCACGTGCAGTAAATTCAAGCACATAAATAATCGATGGAAATAGGACAATAAGGTTATCCAACGTTTTATAATGAGAACCCCAACGAGTATCACCTAGTCGTTGAAGCCCACGTTCTTGATTTAATCCTCGTCCAGTATGCACTTTACCTGATTTGAGCAATTCCTCTAATTTTTCAGCTTGATGTTCTCGAAGCAAATCCCTGCGCTTAAAAGATGCTCCAACAATATTTAAGACATTAGTAACTATACAAAAAAAGTCATCTACATCTGAATGCTTCTTTGCAAGAGCCACAAGTGTTAATTGCAATTGGTGAGCGAAACAGTGAATGCAATATGTTGATGGAGACTCATTCAAAATCAAAGTCTTAACACCATTTAGCTCTCCCTGCATGTTACTAGCCCCATCATAACCTTGTCCACGTATTTGCGTTGGACTTAATGAGTGATCAGAAAGAAAAGAGCAGATTGCCTTTTTCAATGACATAGCTGATGTATTACTAACATGAACAATACCAACAAATCTCTCTATGACTTCGCCTTCTTTGTTAACATATCTCAAAACAAGTGTCATTTGCTCTTTGTGTGATATGTCTTTTGATTCATCAACTAGTATCCCGAAAAAATCCACATCCAGGTCTTCAATGATAGCTGTGATTGTTTCTTTAGCACAAGCATCAACAATATCTTTTTGAATACTTGGAGAACACATTATTTCATTTCTTGGAGCATTTTCTAATATAATGCTTTCAATATCCCGATCAATATCTCTATACCATTGCAAAAGCTCAAGAAAGATACCTCTATTTGTAGAAGATTGACTCTCATCATGCCCACGAAATGACAAACCTAATCTCAAAATAAATCTTGCCACATCAATTGAAGCACTCAAGCGACGTCGAGATTCACTCTTTCCTTTCTCAGATTGTTTGTCAAAAGAAGTGCGAATTGATTGTGATTGATTCATTAAATCAAGCATCATGTTGAAACACTTGTTGTGCATGCTATTTATTTCTCCAACATGAGCTTTAAATCTTTCAATAGCCTTGTTCCAAGTTTTAAAGCCATTTTTTGTAAAAGCATATCCCGTATTTCCATGACTTTCATGTTCATTTTTTGAACAAATAGCAACACAAACAATATGCAGCATCATTTGATATACTATATTCCAACCACTTAGAATGTTAACCCTTAAACCAACCAGGACAAAACTGATGCATTGTATTCCTAAACTTAGTTTTAGGAAAATCATGCTTCACAAGTTGGCAAGGCTTTTTTTGAATATAATGTCTTCTAACTTCATCACGTATATTAGGATTGTATTCTGTAATAGGCTTTTTATCTCCCGGATTAGCGTTGAGAGATTCTAAATCAAGATCAGAAAGAAATTTGTCCCTCTGAATTTCTGGAGCTATGGATGAAGCAATAGATGGATTAGTAGAACTAGAACTTGGTTGCCCAGGATTCGTTCTTGTGACCAACCTATCCATCTTGATTCATAAAGATTGATGAAATATTCCTACAGAATAAGATTCAATTTTATTCAATTTTACCTAAAATTCAATTCAAATAATTCAACTAAATCCTATTGGGGAACTCATGCCCCTTTATAACAATACAAATAATAAAGCAACAACAACATATTTAACCACATTGCACCGAAAAATTGATCATACTTCTTTATAACTAAAAATATCATAAATATTTATTCTTTCGGAAGATAAGATGAAAACTTACAAATTTTCGAAGCAACGAACCAATGAGGATAAATTCATCAATCACACAAACTGATACTAATAACCTACATTTATCCCCCCAAAAAAAAAATCAGTTTTGAAATTAAGTCAGAAATAGAGATAAATTAATTTCAGTTTTTGACAAGTACGCATAACTATTGTTTATTTGCCACAAAATAATTATAAAAAAAATACCGAATCTATTTTACAAAGCATAGGTAATAAAAATTGTAATTTGTAAAATCCAATATCTTCGATACAATATTGTAATTTATACCCAAAATCTCTAGCTAAGTAGCTTAAATCAAAATACCAAATCTTATTACCTTGTTCCTTGTGTTTTAATTTTGAGATGGGGAGGCCAGGAAAACTTGTTATTCACTGTGTAGCTTGCGAAACCAACAAGGAGAACTGGAGAAGCCGAGAAGCATTCTGTTTTAGTATTTTCATTTGGTGTCTTTTGAAAGCCTACCAATGTTTTAACTTTTAGCTAGTAGAGAATTCTTTTTCTCCTTTTCCTCATCTAATTAGTAAATAAGAGGAAATAGAAGGGGGGGGGG